TACCAGTTGATTAGATTCAAAGGGTTTAACCATAAAGAGGTAAAGTCAGTGGGGGAATGCCAGCCTAAGTGGTCTTTGTGCAGCACGAGGTGAGACGGTTTGAACCAAATAGGGCAGTGCAGGACTGGGGATATCAAAGAGTTTAAATGAGTAACTCTCTAGTTGGGTTATAGATACAACATCTAGTATAGAACCTTCGGGTGGACTACTTAAATAGATACCCAAAAGATGCATGTATGCTTGATGTACTCTCATAGATCTAGAAATATACTGTAGCATGTAACAATATAAAAATATAATAACATTTAATACTTCTAATAAAGTTTGCCTGTCATGGCAATTTGGCAATATAAAAAAAAAAAAAAAAAAAAAAAATAAGAATTATATTATAGTAGTATTTAATTTTAAATTATAAAAAAAAAAGTTTAAATTACTTATAAGCTGAAAACAAATAAATTTAAAAAAAAATTTTAACTAAAAAAATTATTTATAAATTTTTGACAAACTCTTTAAATATTAGTTTTAAATCTATAGTTCTTAATACAATATTGTAGTTTATCAAAATCAGAAAAACTCTTTTTGACAATCCCTCACACCAAAAATTTTACTAATACTAATTTATGAATATTGTATAGTTAGTATGTTTTTTCATAACAAAACTTTGCCAAATAGCATTTGGGTTCAAAAGTTTCAGATTGCATATAAGCACTATGAAATAGACAGCTTCTTGTGGGTTTAACTCTCCAGTAGAAGTTTATGAAGCTATCGAACAAGTAGCTTTGGCAACAACCAAGAAGGTCTTTGTCAAGTTATATCTAAGCAAGAGCAAAGATAAAAGTTTAGATAAATATACTATTCTATATAATATAAACTCTTATACTTCTTGTTTTAGTACTTACTCTGGCCTGTTATCTTTACTATCACCCACTTGTACTTTCAACAAAATTTTTAAAAAAAGTGAACAAAATAGCTTACTCCTATTAGAAGATCAGCATTGTTTACTTCTTCTAAATCTGAACAACTAGGTGGATTGCAACTATGTGTTTTGGAGTGATCATAATGATAAACATAGTGCTACCTACAAAGGATCAGGACCTTCTATTTATTTCATATCTGGATTTGGTTGTATATTAAAAAGAAGATTCTAAATAAAGTAAAACTTTATAGTCAAGATATACTATAGTTGCATTAGTTATATAATTTTTATTATTTGACCATAAACTATTTCTTGATAGAGATAGATTGGTTAGCCCGTTAAAGCTTTTTTCTTTTGTTTTTTTTTTTTATATTTCTTTGTTTCTTTATTTGTTTTCCTTTTTGATTCGCCTTTCAATTATATGTTTTTTTTTTAGTTTTAATTTTCTTTTTGCTTCTTAATAGTATTTTTGTATTGGTAATACAGAATTCTTGCTTTCTTGTATTCTTGGTAAAGAAAGAAAAATTGAAAGAATTAGTTCTTGACAAGCTGACAAGGTCTCCTGATGCATATATGAGTTAGTGTGACAAGTCGCACCTGGGCATAGTATTTGTAGCTGGGTGATACTAGGCTCATAATTGCAAAGAACATTTACTAGAAATAGTTTTGGTTTAAAACAGATTTCACTATATAAATATTTGTATTGAAGAACTAACAAGACTATCAGAGAATAATAATAATAAAAAAAAAAATATTGTAGTTTATATAAAGGATAACAATTTTTTTTTTTTTTTTTTTTAATATTAAGGTGACCACTTAGGCCTCTAGCACATAGCTTTATTCAGATAGTTATGATATTATATCAATTTCATGAGGATACAACTAGCAACATGTGTACTTTTGGTATCTAATTTAAGTAGTCTGCCTGGGTTTTACACTAGCCACCAAACCTGCAACCTAACTAGAAGATTATCTATTTAAGCTCTCTGATTATTTTACTAATAAGAGTACAACTAGCCATACATGCAACTTTTGGTTATCTATTTAAGTAGTCTGCCCTAGGTTCTATACTAGCTACCATACCTGCACTCAACTATGGGAGATACCCATTTAAACCCTCTGGCTCTATCTTTGTAACATGCCTACCTTAACACTCTATTGAGATTAGCAATACTGTGGAATGATCCTAAGACTTTAGCTATATGGGTATTTATCCTTGTGGTAAACCTAACAGTATAGTATATGTCTTATACATGCACTCACCTGCATGTTTAATAACTTTTTCCCAACTAGTACCTGTTGTGCTGCCGCTACCGGTTCATATCTTAAGCTATCTTTTTGGATACTGCTATAACCCGATCCGTAACTCAAGCTACAATCTTTCTAATTAGGATTCTATTATATACTCCTTGCCTTTATAAGATTCACAACAACCCCAATATCTACATTTTAGCTTCCTTTTTTTCTGAATTTCTTACTGGTCTCTCCTTTACTTCCAGCCAGCAACCCGGAAGGGTTGGTCTGCCCAGGCTTTAGGTGCCTCACAGTCACTCTCCTCTTAGTACATACTTTCAGAGCATATATCCTTTTTCTCCAGTTGGTGGTCCAGCAGTTTGGCTAGTATGTTCTTACTTAAGAATCTGGTTGTTTGGTTTTCTTGTCTTGGTCTTCAGTTCTAAATTTGGCCTTCCTGTAGCACTATCAAAAATCACTACTACTTCATACTTAGGACTTGCCAAACAGGTTTTTAGTAATTCCAGTTTTCTGGATTTATTGTGCCAAAGCTCCTATTTGAGATGATATAACCAAGATTACAGATATCTGGATCTAACCAATAATTTTAATATTAACCAATACAGATCTAGTTTTTTCAAAATCATTATCTGTGAAATTGAACTCTAGACTTGCCATCTGGGGGTGCGACAACTCCACCACTTCACTAAGTCGCCACACCCTTATGCTGCATTTATATTTAAAGAGGTCTGACTATATAATTAAAGAAAAAAAAATAAGAAAAGAAAACAAAAAAAAAAAACATATAATAAGCAGTCTAATATAAAAAAACTAAACTAATAGTAACAAAAGACTAAAAAATATAAAAAAAATAACTTAACTAAAAAAAAACAAAAAAGAAAAGCTTAAAATAATATATTGTTATAATCTGTATTAGGCAAATAAAAATTATATAATTTTTTTTTTTTTTTTTAATATTAAAGATGAAACCATGCTCTTATTTTTATTAAACTTAATAAAAACTTTTACATGATTAAAAAAGGTTTTATATTTTAAGTCTAGTACTAAGAATAAGAACTCAGATTAAGTGCTTAATAAAAACAAATCTAGTATTTTATCTATAGCCTAAACCTACCTATCAGAGTAGTCAAGACTTGTCTAAATTTTAGATAGATTAAGTATATATAAAAGATATATATGAAATTTAATCTAGTTAGAGTATCAAGATGATATTTTAAATATAGATATTTGTGTAGTATTGTTAGAAATAACTGTATAAAAATGTATACTGTGTAAAAATTTAGATGATAAGATTGCTTGTAAAGATAAGAGTTAAGATATAGGTCTTGGGCTATAATAAGGAATTCAAATATTTGTATAAGGCTACACAAATAAAATTAATTGGTTCTCATAATATATTAAAGCTAAAAAGCATATGAGACCTGGATATTTTTGTACAAATATAAAAAAATATTATATGAAATATCAATATGCAAAAATAGTAAAACTGGTAAATAATAGGCATATATATATACATATATATCTAGTATATGTATATGTATATACGTATATACGTATATATATATTAGATATGTACATACATACTATATGTATGTATAGTATGTATATACATGATATAGGGCAGTCTTAGTCAAAACATGTCTTCATAAGGTCCAACAAATTAAGTGTCATATCTAATTGTAGTATGAGTGTTGTTTTTTTTTTTTTTTTTAGTGTTAAGATAACCTTTATAGCCGGGGCTTTTTATTAGATAATTAACAACGTTTACAATTATGATGAAGGTACAACTAGCCACACACACAACTTTTGGTTGTCTATTTTAAGTAGTCTGCCCAAGTTCTATACTAGCCACCATACCTGCAATCTAACTAGGAGATTATCTATTTAAGCTTTCTGGCTTTTACAAGTAAGAGTACGACTAGCCATACTTGCAACTTTTGGTTGCCTATTTAAGTAG